ATAAATTATTCGATATTTTCTACTCAACAGATATTCACTACAACTCCAAACTAGCCAAGAATCTCGTTTAAAATGGCGCAAGACCTAATAAATAAGAATGATATTTGTAAGAGTTTCCTTGTAACTGCGATGTATGAACAAAACGCGGGGATTGGCCTCGTAAGATAATAGCTGCATGCAAGATCATCTGTACTGATAAAGATGGCAAAACATGGGCATCTCATCAGATCTACAGGAATGATGACGAAAATCATGCTGAAGAAAATCTTATTGAATACCTTCGATGGCTTGGACACACTTTAGACGCCAGTAGAATTATAATTAAGGTTTACATTAACTACTCACCCTGTAACGAATGTTCTGAAGCAATACTGAAATATATAAAAGAAATGAAATCGCAAAAGAGAGAGAGTGAAATGACCATTACATTTGCCAACTTCTATGAAACACATGAATATACTTATAAAAAACAGGATGGAACCACGGGAGGAAACAGGAAGAAGAAAGCACGCGAAAACATTGAAGGGCTAAAGAAGCTGTATAAGTATAGAGAACCTGGGGTGAACCTTCGATTGCTTGGAGTGCATGTAAAATGGGAAAGATTCCTAGGCATGAGTAAGTTTTTTAGTCTTACTGAAGAAGAAAAGGATGATTGTTTGGATCAGGCATGCTCAAACGAAAGACAACGTAGGGAAATACAAGATCAGATGGTCTGGGACGAAATCTTCAATGACGGGGTCGAAGAAATTACATCAGGAATCGATAGTCTTTAAATATAAGAAATTATAATGGAAGAGCTATGGTTACTGATCTACGGTAAGGGACACATATTCGGTAGAAAACATGACTAAGTGCATGAGATTTGTTATTAAGCTTTATTATTATTCAATGATTTAACTGAGACAACAAATGTTTTGTTATCGTATCCCCAGCAAATGGACTGATTAGGTTTATGTACGTATTTTAAGTAAGTTTATGATGGCCAAAAGTTGACTGGCTTTAAATATAAGTTGAGGAAAAATCTTTTGAAATTGTCTATTTTCAACTCGCCTACATATTAAATGTGTAATAAGTATTAGATTATTGTCTCTTGGTATTACAGCTGGTTAATACTTTAATAGATTACTTGGTATTGATATTGGTATCAGTATTTTAGTTATTAGATTATTGCCTCTTGGTATTACAGCTG